CAATAATCTAAAATTCGATTTTCAAGTTTTTTGATATTACATTTATAGACATTTCAAGTATATTTGGTAGCCCTTCGTCTTATCTTAGTAACTCACTAGATTGCTTTTTTTCTTAAACAAATATTTTACCTATAGAATACCTTAGAGGTATTTGGGTGTCTATCTAACCATTTTTCTATATTTTGGTAGCAATTGTATTGTTTACATTAAGTAGTACTACAAAATTGAATTAGTAAAAGAGGAGAAGATTCTTTTATGCAGCTTACATATTTGGATTTATAGCTTTTTAATGTAACACTGCTACTTAACTTGTTTTAATTATGTCATGCTCTTAAATCGGTGATGTATATTATATTAAATCTTAGCTGAACAAAGAATGCTATACCTACGAGCACTTAAAATACACTCTTTATTTCATATTACCTTTATTTTTGTTTTGGGTAATTATAATCACGTTATTCGTATTATGGAGAATAAGAATCAAAAGAAATAAATTAACAGAACCAATATAGCTTTATAAATATGGATTTATTTGTGGAGATTACAAAACAAAATACTTCTACTGGGAATTTTTGAGGATTCTTTTAAGGCTTAGCATAGTGCTAGTGGGAAATATCTTTGCTGAGAACCTTTTAATATTGAAATCTAATTTTGCTGTTTTAGTGATTCAAATTTATAATTACTGCTTGATAAAACTGAGTCCATACATAAATAAAAACTCTCTTAAAATAGACTATTACTTTAACTAATGCATTTGCTTGCTCTTTCTTCTAAATCCAATAACATATTATACTTAAAATGTTGCTATATACTAAACGGCTTATATTTCTTAATTTGTCATAAATTTAATTTGTTATGCCATATTTTTGTTAATGGTAATAGGATTTGTTGTTAACAAAAATGAGAAACTAAATAAATATTTGACTTAAAAAATTCCTTTCTTGAACCGTTTTTTATAAAAGCCTTTAGTAAGCTTTAAAAGATTTTCTCTATGGAAAAAAGTGAAGTAAATCATTTTCAATATTTTAATTAATTTATATTTAAAACTATTTTTCTTAATTTAAATAAATAGGAAACACTTTGATAAATATCAAAAAGCTAAAAAAGGTGCATAATAAATTAAAAAAAATAGTCTAAGATCTAATTAACCGAAAATTTCATTGAATATAAATGAAAAATAACCTCATGATAATAATCAAAATACTATTGATCTTGATTTTAATACTCCTAAAAATTCAGAAAAAGCCTTTATTAATTTGAAGAACTCACCTGACTTTTATAAATCTGTTTAAAATATGAAAAGCTTAAATAGCTCTATATAATCTCCAACCCGTTCAACTAGACACATTATGCCTTCTTACTAAAAAAGCAACTTTTAAAATTTACAAAATTAAGAATAAAATACATCCTTACAAGACAAAAAAAACGTAGAAGAATTCAAACAAAAACCAATTTAAAAGACAATAGAAGATAAAAAGGAAACTTAAAGTATACATATAGTTTCAGAGATTGCTTCCATATCAGATTTAAATTTGGAAGAAAACCCCTAAGTAAATTAGATGTTTAATGTGGCTTTTTTTTAATCACAATATGAGCTCTTATAAAAGATGAAAGAGGACATTTATAAAAATTAACAACAAAGTAGTGAATGATTATTTCATAACAATTCTTTTAAATAATTAACTAAAATTTATGCTTCTGCTCAATAAATAAATAGATCTCTTCTTCAAATTTATATGCAATTAATTTTTTAAATAAAAAAATTATATTTTTTTTTAAAAATAAATAAATAATGTAATTTATTTATATTTAGTGATGAAAATAAAAATTCTAATATACCATATTAAAAAACTGGTTAAATTTGTAAATTTTTAAACCCATTTAACTTATATAAAATTTTTTCCCCTAATTTCAACGTTGCAAATAAATAAATTTTTTTATTTTTTGTTAATATTTTTTTAGAGTTAAATTATCAATTATTCAAATTTATTTTATGTCAAATATTTTAATTGTATATTTAAAACTTTTAAAAATAAATTTATGTATTGATAATTTTGATTTAATTAGTTAATAGTGATTAAATTTTAATTTAATTACAGAAGAAATTAAATAAATGAATATTAAACGCTCTCTCTCTATTTGTTCTTTGGTAGTCATCATAATATGTAAAAGTGGTAGTTACTCCCTAATATTTCATTTATGGAAATTAAAAAAATACAGATATTAGAAACTTTTGATGAATACTGAAGACAAAAACAAACAATAATCTTTTGAATATTACAAAGAATAATTAATTAATATTAAAAAATAACACAAATTAAAGAGCAGACAAAATACGAAAGAAAAATGAAATAAATTTTTTTGTTCTTAACAATTTACCTGTTTAGATTTTATTGCAACCCTTGTTAAAGCTAAAATTTATATGGAAATATTTGCCATTCCAGTTATGTTAAGAAATTTATTGTTGATTAAGACTTAAATTATGCGTACTCGATATCTGATGATTAACTAATTATAACATGGGATATTATAAATGGTTAATATATCAACAGTTATTCAGGACATAGGAGCTTTTTAGTAGACATTAACTAAGATGAAAATGGAAATATTTACAGCGTAAGTAGTACAGGAGATATAGTCATTTAAAACAAATATAATAGTTCAATAAAATAGATCTTTAATTGCACAAATGGTGGAGTTATTCAAAATGTAACAAAGTTTGATTCTACCTTTAACTATTTTCTCTATTATGATTCTTCATAAAAAAAAGTAAATTTATTAATTTATTTCAATAGAAAGTGAAGTGTAATAAATATATATTAAGAAAATATAGTAACGTTAGAGCTTGTAAAATATACTTGACAAACACTATTTTTCACTTTATTGATTTATATCAAACAAATAATTAAATTTTTATAAAAATGGCTCAAATATTATCTAATCATATATATATAATTATAATATTGGATTACATAAATCTTATTCTAAAAAATAATAATTATTTTCTTTATAAAAAAAGCTAAGCGTTTTTAGCTTAACTTAACAAAATCAAGTTCTTTCTTTGAGTTTTCCTTAGTAGGAATTAATGTAAATAATTGAGAATCATTAGTCAGATTTTATATTTTTCTTCGCAGATGGAAGTTATGTTGAGGCGAATATAAAATTGAATTAAATTAAAAACTTTAAATTAGATCCTTCAATTTCTAATGTAAAGAGTATTATACAGAAAGATATTAAAGTTTTAGATACTTATCTTATAACTTAATAATAATAGATATTCGATATATAATACTTATCTTTAGGTTCTATGAAAGTAAAGAACATTTAAATGCCTAGCATTAATATTGCATATTAAGTTTTTATAATTCCAGAAGATGATATGTATTTTATGGTTACGAATTCTAATTAAATTAAATGGGGAAATTTAAATTAACTTTAATTATAAAAGAATTTTTAAAATATCTAATTTACAGATTTTGAGAATATCAATCAGCTGACTCTTTATTAAATAATCAAAATTAATAATAACCAGTATGTGGCATCCACGCATTTAGGATATTTACTGTAATTAAATATATCTTAAAATTTACTTACATATATAAATACTAAACGTTACTATCCCATTTAATATTTAGCTCTCACTGAAATCAATAAAAATTAGATGCTTTTTTATAGTTTTCAAGGAAACTATGAAGGGATTCAAGCTATTTCTACTTCTAATTGGGTGATCTAAATTGAAATGAGATGCCTTTAATTACCGTGGAACTTAAATGTAGAATAAAGCTAGTTAATTTTTAATTAAGAAGAAGACCAACTTATTACTACTTATGTTGGAGGAGCTAGTCTGCAGGACCTAACATCTAGCTAGTTTACAAATTAAATGAGAATATTTCAGCAGAGACTAATTCTTCCTTATTAATCAATTATTGATTATAATATAGGTGTCCTAGTATTTTTAGATAATGATTTCATCAATGTTGTTAATTACTATACCTTTGAGTTTATTAAATTTATTCAATTTGTCTCAAACCTTAGTAAAATAAAGGCAGATTTGAAATACAATCAAAGTAGCTCAAATTTATATGTAACAAGCAGTGGAAACAATAGTATTTATTTTAATTTAAGATTATAAATGTAAATTTACATCTTTATTTTAAAATATTAAATATTTAGTGGTTTAGCTTACTGTAGTAAACTTAAAAACAATGTTAGCAGCTTAATACAATGCCATATTAAATACTTAGTAAATTAATTAAATTAATATTATTTTTTTCTTTAATTAATGTTATCTAAAACTTAGGTCTAATTGCTTTAGTTAAGAGTATTTTGTTGAAAGAAATGTAGTTATGTGTACTAGCTATTCGAGTATTACCCTTTATGATATTGATTAAATATATTAATAGTTAATAGTTAAAGCAAATTAAAACCTGGACGATTTTACAGTAATAAAGGTATAAGATTAAGATTTTTTGTTATTGCTGAATGGATTTGGGTAACAAACAAAAGTAGCAAAGTATAATTCAACTACATTAGAGTTAATTGATAAATCATTCATTTCAGAAAGAGGAATAACTAATATTTATTTATTATCATAGCAAAAGCTTGTTATTGTCTCAGCTGCATCAAACCCAACTTTTATTTTCGATATAAATGGTAACTTAATATTTCAGGCAAACAAAATAAATTAAAATACTCAGATATTAATTTAAGCTGAAAATTATATTTATTTTTAGCAAGATCAATAGATTGAATCCATAAATTTACAAATACTTTAAAGCTAAATTTATCAAATAGCTTAGTAAAGTATAATTACTAGCTACTTTTATGATACACAAAATTAGTTAATATTTTTTGGATACTTGGAAGGAGATATTTTATATGGTTATTATAATGATCTTTCTAACTACAATATAATTAAATCTAATTTGCAATTAGTTAAAATTTTCTTCTATGCACCGAGTTAATTGTTATACGCATGTAAATTTTCTTTTTTTATACACCAACACCATTTCATATTTTAATTCTTTTCAAAAATATAGTAATTTTAAATCATTATATCTTTTTTTTATTAATTAAAAATGCAAATAACAAAAAAATTTTTTATATAGTAAAAATAAAATTCATATTGACACTATAATAAAAATATAAATCATTTTTATTTAATAATAAAATTTAATTTTAAATAAATTAAAATAATTATTTAACATTATCAGAAATCAGTCATTAATTTTAATAAAATAATATCATTAATAATTAAATATTTTTAAGTTTCATAAAATTAATTATTTTTTTTAAATAAAGAGTAACAAATCACATAAAATTAACCTTAAGAGATTATTGTGCTTAAAATAAATCAATAGTAAGAATTTGATTATTAATATTAAATAACTCAGCTTATAAGTTAGTAAACAACTTTCTCTGCTAGCTTAAATTTAATAATACAAATTAAGTAAAATTAAATAGTATTTTATGATATAAGAAATGGATAAAGGCTATTAAAATTTAATGATGACAAATTATTTACTTATTATTTTAATTCACTTTTTTTAGGTACTGTTTTAAATGGAAATAAATTCTATATTTTATCACAGTTTTATTTTTGTCTTTTCTCCTTCAACTATCCTAAAATACCAGAGTAATCAATTACAGTTAAAAGAGAAAATTGTTTAGATTCTTCTAAAAATGGATTTGATGTTTCTTCAAGCATTAATTCAAAGTTTGAAACTGCTATAATTATAATTGATAATACATATATTTATGATTTAACTACATTTAAACTAGTTTAAACATTAAAACTATAGTGTTGTTTATTTGGATACAGTTACAGTGTAAAGCATGGAATATATTTTGGATCACTAAATGCGTTTTAATATCCTGTAGAGCTTTAATTTATTTCAGCAGAGTAAAATAAAATGCTTAACTAAATTTTTGTTGATGTTACTTTGTTTTAAAGTATTATCTAAATAAGTTAAGATTTTACTTGCTACACAGATTCACAAGGGTAAAATTATGATTTTATTTGAAAATAATTTATTAATATTTTTAGATTCGTTTTTAAATCAATTAATTGGTAATTTAAACCATTTGCCTAAAACCCCCTCTTTTTAAACATATTTTATCAAAAATAAAAAAATTTAATTTTAGATTTTCTAAAATAAATGAGAATTTTTGTATTTTTTCATTTAAAAATGATTTCACAAAATTCTTAGCAATAATAAATAAATTTTTTATTTTACAAGCTCATTTAAGTAAGATAAGAAATAATAAACTTAATTATTATTGATGATAAATAAAAATATTAATTGTAAATAAATATTTAAAAAGGTGGGTGTGGTTTTATTCCTTCTAATCATAGACATTAGTTCATTCAAAGAGATTTCATGCTAGCACCACAACTATTTTAATTTATTTGGAGTTATCTTCTGAAATATTTGCAATAAGTTAAAATAAAATATATTATGGAATTCTAAATTTCTATACAGGTGATGACATATAGAATTATATTATAAATTCTTAGTCTAGTAGTATATCAGATATCATAGTAATAGATAATTTAGACTTGTTAATTGTCAATAGCGGTGATTATTAATATGAGTTTTATTAAAAATCTACAGGATCTTTCCTATAGACTATGAGATATTCTTAAATTTTTTACATTTAATCATTTTAGCTATTGGTTTATCAATAATATAATAATGGACCATTTAAAATGTTTGACATTAATTCACTTTTTAAAAGTACAGAGTTTTCTTAAGATAGAAATCAAAATGTCATACCTAAATTATATGATCAAAAAAATTAAATGATTTACGCGGTTTCATATCTGAATTAAATTTATTAAATAGATATTCTCAATTAAAAAATGAACAAATTAATGATAAGATTAAACTCTATAATTTCTATTTCACAGATTGGTAGCTATAATATCTATCAGACATCTTAGGAAATAATATTCTAAAATATGAATAAGCTTAATGAAGGTTATTAGATCATACCTATTTCTTCGCATTAATTAGAGATAGTGCAGCTTTCTCAAGCCTAAGACATACTTCAGAATTTTAAACTAATATTAATAACTTTTCCTATATAAATATGTGTTTTAACAGGAAGTTTCGATGGCTAAAATTTAAAATACTCTGAAAAGTAGTGTTCATCCCAGCTTAATTATAAAATTAGTTCTACTTTATAGATTAATGAAACTATAACTTTAATATTGCATACAAGTGGTTTGATGAGTATTATCAATAACAATATAAACACAGTTGGAATAGCTGAAATTTTACTTTAATAATAATGCCATAATAAAAAATATTACATATAAAATCTGCAGAATTATAAAACCTCTAATTCTACAACAGAAATTTAATACTTTTTAACATATTCCATAGATCTATCTATAAAATTATTTTCATTAACAATTAATAAAGCTCAGAGTTAATACAAACTAAATCAAATTTATTTCTAATAATTTGATAACAAGATACTACATGTTATATTAACAAATGACTAAAAATATGTAATAATAGGTCTTTAGAATTAAAGAATTATTTAGAAAATATGTATTTATTGCAAGATAAATAAAAAAACTTTAATTTTCTAAAGCTTTTTCTAGCTCCCTTTTTCCAGAAGTAAATACTAAATTCGATTATATGAGAAATAAAACTATCTACTAGTTTTTTCAAGTTAAGTGTTCATAATTTTTGATTTTTTAATAACAAATCCTCTTTTTATCTCTACATAAAGTTATCTCAATAACATAATAGCTGATATATAAGTAGTAAGCAGTAATTAAATTGTCATTTCAACTTAAAATAATGTGTAACTACTAAATTTAGATTTTTAATAATACAAATACAATTTTTATGGAGTAGCTAGCCAGCTTTTTATTTAGCAAAATTAAAACCTAAAAATTTTCTTTGCAAATATCGAAACAAATCGTTTAGACCAATCTTATTATGTTTTTAATTTGATTGGTTATGATTTAGGATTGAATAATGTTGTATTTTACAAGATACCAATTATCAGTAACAATGACAATTATGCTTGCTTAGAAGTTTTTGAAAATCCTACTCAAATCATGATATAAAAGAAAATAGATGGATACTAACAGCTTCAAAATTCTCTCACTGTTCAAGTTAAAAATTACCAATTTTAATTGGAATTCACTTAAAACCTTCTTAATTAAAATAATACTTACATTCAAACTGCTTATCCAATAATTATACCTCATTAAGCAAATAATTTAAAACAATAACTTATATTCACTGGTGAAAAAATTTATTTAGATAAAATAGATTTTATTAGCATGTAAAATTACTATACAGTTATTTTGTTTATAAATGCAACCATTTACGTTAAAGATAATGTGTTGATTCAGGGCTTAACCTAAGTTTCGTTCAGAAATTGCAGCTTTTATTTCTTAGTACCCGATTTGTAGTTAAAATAGTACAAAGTATCAATAATCCAAAACAATAACATTGAATTTAGTAATATAAATATCTCTAACTAATCAATTCCTAAAAACTTTTAAGGATTCAACATTTCATCAAATTTTGACTATATAATAATAAAAAACTTAACTTTAACAAATTTAAGTTTACAGTCATT